GGACATGGCGAGGGACATGGCGTGGGATAGGGCATGGGACATGGCGAGGGGCTTGCCATGTCACGGGCACGGCGGGAAGACGCGGGTGTGTACACAATAGGTAATCAAGACATGACGAGACACCAGACATTCCCCCAGATGTGACAGAGCCCCCCCCTCAAGGGACGGCTCCCAGACAGCCCTAAACACACATGAGGACCACGGGAGGGTGGGGGGGATCAGGAACAGAGGGAACAGACACAAGGCGTGGAACATGTCGTGGAACATGGCGTGGAACATGGCGTGGAACATGGCGTGGAACATGGCGTGGAACGTGGCATGGTTGAGGGACTTGGCATGGTGAAGGACAGGACATGGCGAGGGACATGGCATGGCGAGGGACTTGGCAAGGTACAGGGCGAGGGACATGGCGTGGGACATGGCGATGGGACATGATGAGGGACATGGTGAGGGACATGGCGAGGGACATGGCGAGGGGCATGGCATGGCGAGGGACTTGGCAAGGTACAGGGCCAGGGACATGGCGTGGGATAGGGCGTGGGACATGGCGAGGGGCTTGGCGAGGGGCATGTCATGTTGAGGGACTTGCAAGGTACAGGGCGAGGGACATGACATGGCGAGGGAAATGGCGTGGGACATGGCGAGGGACATGGCGTGGGACTTGGCAAGGTACAGGGCGAGGGACAAGGCGAGAAGATGTGGGCGTGGCGAGCCCCCTCTAGATTCGCCCACGGGCACGGCAGGAAGACGTGGGCGTGTGCACAATAGGTAATCAAGACATGACGAGACACCAGACATTCCCCCAGACGTGACAGAGCCCCCCCCTCAAGGGACGGCTCCCAGACGGCCCTAAACACACATGAGGACCACGGGAGGGTGGGGGGGACCAGGAACAGAGGGAACAGACACAAGGCGTGGAACATGGCGTGGAACATGGCGTGGAACGTGGCGTGGAACATGGCGTGGAACATGGCATGGCGAGGGACTTGGCATGGCGAAGGACGGGACATGGAGAGGGACTGGAGTCGGCAAGGTACAGGGCGAGGGACATGGCATGGGACATGGCGAGGGGCTTGGCGAGGGGCTTTGCTAGGGGCATGGCATGGCGAGGGACTTGGCAAGGTACAGGGCGAGGGACTTGGCAAGGTACATGGCGTGGGATAGGGCATGGGACATGGCGATGGACATGGCGAGAAGACGTGGGCATGGCGAGCCCCCTCTAGACTCGGCCACGGGCACGGCGGGAAGACGTGGGCGTGTACACAATAGGTAATCAAGACATGACGAGACACCAGACATTCCCCCAGACGTGACAGAGCCCCCCCCCTCAGGGGACGGCTCCCAGACAGCCCTAAACACACATGAGGACCACGGGAGGGTGGGGGGGATCAGGAACAG